CCCCCCCCTCCTTCGGCAGCATGCGCTTAATCCAATCGCCTTCCAGTAAACACCTCACATGCGCTGGGTTTCCCCGGTAACCCAATCCTCGGCTGTAAAGCGAGTTAAACGAGAACAAGAGGGCCTGAGAGGGTCCAGCTGTGGCCCGGTACCAAAGGGCAGGCGAGTTTCACGCGTTTGGTCCGACGCTAAACAGGAATCAATGCAAAACTCAACCGATAACTGATGGTTTTGATCAGATTTGACTCCTTTAACTCAATAAAATCAACTGAATCTAGTTTTTTACCATCATAGTCAGCTTATAAATTACTGTATAAGTGCCAATCCAGCTCGATCAACAGCAACAGGTGGCTTAAGCACCAAAACTGAGGCCACATAATTTACTGTTATGCACCGATATAAGCATAACTGTAGCAAAATATAAATTGAATTTAACAAACTTTGCACTGTGCAAATTTTCAACACCAATATAACAGGTAGAGCTGCACAATTTATCCACTTCTGTTCACAATTTGGCTTCACACGAGTACATTAACACAATCGTCTGTGATATTTAATGTGTAAAAATGCAACAAATACCACCACAAACAGACAACAGCCCACCTCCAGCTTCATCCTAACATTCAACTTGAGTAAATCTGATGTCAAAACACTTTTATTTTACTCTTTTCAGTGCAATTTTTGGTCACAAAGCTGTCCGAGCGGCTGGGTTGCAGTAACCAAATGGAGACTAGAAGCTTCTCCGTGCACAGCCGACTAGCTAGCATCAACATTAGCCTGCACATGAGGCGTTTATGGAACATCTGCAAATTGTAATGTCTATATATCAGGAAAAGAGGCCTTTTGGTAAAACTTAAATAATATTTTGCAGGTGAAGTCTTATTTTGATGACACGACTCGTACGTTAGCAGGAATGTAGCACAACATGGACGTGAACGCAGCGCTGTTTATTTACATGTGAAAGTGCAAAAACAATATTTTGTCTCTAAAACCATGACTCATGAATGGAATCTTAAATTGATCAAGTTAATCACGATTAGCATTTTGCACATAATCGTGTAGCCCTACCTGTAGCGACACAGCATCATGCTAACATTATATAGCTTGTATAGCTTATACCTTCTTGATACTTCAATTATCCCAATTTGTTTGGGTAAATAAAGAAAAAAATGCCATAAACACAAATTAATGTGTCCACAATGAGCGCAGGACGGTTTAGAAATTTTACCTTCAGGAAAACCAGAAGAAAAGGAGAAAATATTGGGAAAGAAAATGCTGTTGCCAACGCAGGATATATTCTCCTCTAAAAAAATCAAAGAAATCAAAGAATTTTACGATTTTAGATTAAACTATTCATATAGAAATGATCATTTCAACATTAATCTGTATGTTTTTGCTAAATTCTGCATCTAAATGAATGATTTCAAGCAACTTATAGCAAAAAAACTTCATTTTTATAACATATTAAAGCTGGATGTAGATGTAACATGGGTTTTGCATGTATTTAATATGTCATGATGTTGCATCACACACATGTGAGCGTATGAACAGAACATGCTGCAGTCTGGATGACTCACACTCAGCCGACATGTGAGGCCTTTAGTGACATACAGCCACACACACACACACACACACACACACACACACACAAACACACACACACACAGGCGCATACAGTAGATGGAGCTGACGGCGTGCACGTCCCGCTATATTAGCCCTCCCATCATGCTTTGCGGCGTGATTGATGAGGGATGAGGGCTGCAGCAGAGGCTCGTCTGTGCCATATGCTTCTACCGTGGAAGGGAGGAGGTGTGACGGAGGCAAATCCACAAAGACCTTAAACACGCCGCAAAATACGGGTTATAATACGCTCGTTAGCACATTAGCTGCAGATTAGAACAGCCTGGCAAAGCTGTAGATTCACCTGAAAATCACATTTTGCCACCTTTTTTTTTCTAAACCTCCACAAATCCAAAAGGGAGAAACAAAACTTTCCAGCCTGATCCGAGCAGCAGACTCGCAAACTGCAAAACCGCCAGTCCAAGTCCAAGAAAGTGGTATTTCAGTTTCACAATCACACACAATTCAGCATTTCCAGCAGCGTATCACAACAACACAGCAGCCGAAGTGAAACCGAAAGCAGCCAGGTTTCGGTAAATAAATCAGGACTTACTCATGGTGGGAGTCCAGGGGCGGGGGGCAGGGTGAGGCCCAGGTAGGGCGGGGCTTTGGACAGGTGAGGTTATTCTCCGCTGGGTCTTTCCTAGAGGCACTCATGACCTGAGGAGGGAACCAAAGAAAGACGTTAGAACACTTCTGCACAGTCAGAACACACTGGCGCTGAATTTCGGATCACTGGCAACAGGTTTGGATGAATATAGCGGTTTGTTTGGGGGGTGACTTAAATGCTAATTTAACAGCCTGCCTTTGTAAGAAGTTAGTATAAATCAAATATGATGCCCAATCCAATGTGTGCACTAATAGGAACTGTTTTCTGTTTTCTTGTTGCACTGATTTCTGTCTTTTACGGAATAATGTTAGTGATTAAATGACAATTAAACCATCTGTACTCGTTGCTGTCGATAGCAGGTGTTCAAACCAGACATTTAGACCAACAGAGACATTGAAATGCTTCACATTTATGTGCAAATATATGGAATGTAAATCCACTTTTCTGGTTGTTACAGCACTGGTCATGATGTGCTTCAAGAAACACGACATTTATTGTGATGCGTGTTGAATTATCATCAGTTTCTCTGTTCAGTATTGATGTTAGACACTCATATATGGAACCATTCGTTAAGGCAATGTAAGCCTTGTGTTGGTACATTTCCACATGAAGACAACATGGAAGCAACTTCACATATATTGCCAACATATAGACCCCTATCAACACCAGTTTTTGTGGTCCTACGAGTCAGTCCATTTCACCACTTTGACATGTTCAAATGACAAAAAACTGAAATCCTGTCTTGCAAGACTGTCAAATATCAAACTCCACTGATGTCAGAGGGTTCAAACGTTGGTGAAATGTTGACCAAAGTCTGTATTTTTAGTAGGAAATATGGAAACATCCATATATTTACACCTACATGAACCTTCTGGGGCCCCAATACCACCATCGTTTGACAATTTGGCACTTTTTTTCCTTTTTCAGGGGCCACTATTTAACTTTTGGGTTTTTTTTGGGGCATTTCATTCTTTAAATTTTGTTGGAGCCGTTTTTTTTTTTTTCTTCCCCAATTTTATTCCTGTTGGGGTTTTTATTTCTGGAGATATTGAAGTCTTAAAATGGGTTTTCTTTCATAGGGACCACTGCAGCCATGATTAGTGGTGCTGTGGCTCCTTCTTTACCTCCTGATTACTGCTGCAATACTGATTTTTAGTTTACTTTTTCCACCTTTGTGAAGCTTCACAGGCATGATTTTTCCAGCTCTTCTGGCATTTGTTTTGATATGGAGACATGATGCAGACAAATTCTGCAAATTCAGCTGTTCACAGTTAATTTTATAACTGAGTCCATGCAAACAGGCTAAATGTAAATCACATGTGCACCCAGTTTTGTATCAGTGATAACAAACAACAACCACCAAACACTGATTCAGTTCTCCTGTCAATCCTTTCCATTTGGAGCCATGATGTAGACATAGATAGTCGCAGCTCATTGGTCCAAAACTGAGAAGGTTCACAGATAATTTTAGAACCGTTTTCTCACTGGTGAACTCAGTTTAGTTTCACTTTTGTTTTGGATCTGCTGGAAACAGTTTCGTCTGCGTCTTTACCAAATGTCATGGCTGTGGGAGGTACATTTTTGGAGGTATTGAACCCCTCCAACAGGTGTTTTTGGAGGGTGAAATGCACAAATTCCCAGTTTTGGAGGGGGACTATAAACTGAATCATTTTAGGTTTCGGACTGTCAATCCAAGTGAGTTTATCTATGTAGCCCAATACTGCACATTTGCCCAACGGCAGTTTACCAATCTTTACAGTCCTCTGTTTTTAGATGTTCACTGTGAGAATATTAAGTCATAATTCTTGGTTTGGAGCTTTAAAAACACAACAACGACTCAGAGAAACGGCTCCAATCGATACAGAGAATGAAGCCCCATTAGAAGCTTTCGGACACTTGCTGTCTCAGACGTCACATATGCACACTCACGCTTGATTAAGGACGCCAGCCTGATCATTACCATTATCGCCGAGGGGCTCTGAGCGGCCGAATTAACAGCTCGGGCTTTGTGTGAGTGTGCATGAGCGTCCATGCATTCAAATGGTCTCCGTCCCTGGACTAAATAACAGTAATCTGATGATAGCATGCGGTAATAATGGGCAATTTGATCACTCTGCAGATGCTTGCGGGAGGCGGAGGGAGGAACAGCAGGAAGCCGGAGGGGGGAAATGATGCAGGTGATGTAGAAATTAAGCTCCCCCCCTCCTCCACCCCCCCACGAGCACTGCAGATGTGGAGGATCCGATATCCTCCGAGGCTAAAAGCAGCACAGGTCAGCAGAAAGCTTCGGCGGCGGCGGCGGCGGAGGGAGCGACGAACAAGCAGCAGAGCAGCAAAGAGTGCAGAGATTTACTCATGGTAAAGATGGAGCCGATACTGGCTCCTGGGCGTCGTTATCTCCGTCATTATCGTTAAATTCACTATCGGGTCTGGATGGTTTCAAAAACTGTTTAGCGGAGTTAAAGTGCAGCAGCGTTCCGACCGCGGACGCAAACTTTAAAGCACCCAAAGGAAACGTTTTAATAGTGAGAGAATCAAATCCCCCGTATCAGTCCATCTTTCTGCCCTGTTTTATGTTAGCGGGTTAATCATCAAGGCTATAAATTGTCAGAAAAGAGTGAAAAATAACATCTTCAAATGTCAAACAGTCCAAACTATGTCATTTATGCGAGCCCCAAACCCCACCAGTGGGTCTGAAAGGCAAGAAAATCTCACGAAAATATGATGTAGAGGCGCAATTCCACCTTCAAGTGTTGACATTCAGGAGGGAAAATTAGACTTGACGTTGACCTGAAGTGCTGTGCAGCCTTAAAAAAACAGAAAAGGTGCAGCTACACCAATTATCACCCATTAAATATCAGATGAACTCAACGCTTGTGGAAATTGTGTGTTCTCACTCAGTGCACTTTAGCACGAAAAAAGGTTAATTTTAAAGGATACGCCTGGTGCTATTTTGAGTTTTGTCTACAAATTCCATGACAAAAATACAAAAAAAATCCCCAATACGTCTCTAAATATCTTGGTTCCTTTACCCTCTGTGACTCTTGAATCACAGTAAGAGATGTGAAAACAGAAATAATCAGACGATCCATGAACGCATCATGGATGATGTGTGGTTCTGTCGGGAGAAATAACCAAAAAATAATAATTTCATCAACATCACTGTAATATACATGCCCAGAAGACACATTCTGCATGGTGACACATCTTCATAGACTTGATGTGCAGAGTCGAGTGAAAACGTTTTCTCTGGACCCTTAAAGTTGTCGCACCACATCACTGATAAACACCTTCAGCGCTCACATCAGATAAAGCCAGAAGCAGCGGTCAGAGCTAACTAACATGTCAGCCCGGGAGCTGCTGGTGTGTCGGACCCGACTAGAAAACAAAACACGCTGGGTTCTGATGCACATCACACGCTGGGAGCTGATAAATGAATCCCTCGTGTTGCAGAGGAAACAAATGGAAGTGAACTTTGCTGCCGCCGGGCCAGAACAGAAACGTCTGAGGTTATCGCAAGAAGAGACGGTTTGCATCACAAACATGAGGTCCAGCCGCCTGCTGTAGATGCTACCAGGCCGATAAATGACCCTCATTGTTGGACCATTTCAACACATATGAGCTAAGAAGAACCTCATCCACATTCTAGTCGGCTCACTGGGCTGTTATCACCTCTTAGGATGGAAGTTTTCTGATTTTCACGAGTAACAGCCAATCACTGAAAGCCATTGTTTACACAGAGAGACAGACGAGCACATTAGTAGAGCAGGTTTCTCGTTTAAGTCAAAACACTCCAATAGTTCTCTTGTTGTTGTCAGTGCAGCTTGATCATATTCTGCTAGTGTTGCTAGGCTAAAGCTAGCACTAAAAGGGTTTGCTGTGCCTCTTAGCCTACAGCTAACGCTAGCTAGAGTATCATAATGTAACTAAAGTAAAACTGACTTTAAACTGACTGTTGTAACTGACAGACGCGTCTCTGCAGCAGATACACAACCTGCAAAAACTGAACGAGAAGCAAGAAATTAGCTGCTTTCACAGTGGCTAAGGCTACGCTAATGGCTAGCGGCTAAGTTAGGAGACAGCCACAGATTAATGTGAAACACAGTCTGGAAAAAATAACCAATAGCGTTTTAACATTTGAGGCTTCGTCGGCAATAAAAGCAAAGACAGAAGAGAGAAAGAGCAGCAGACAGTTATTGATCTCAATCAATCGATCAGTAAACGGAGGCGAGCTTTGTAGCATCATGTGATACTTGGACGTCATTGTTTCTATTTGTGTGATACATATTCAGTTATAGTAATTCTTAATAATGATTAACCTAGTTATGAATGACAGGTTTCTTGCTATCACAGGCTCTTAACACATAACATTTAATGTATATCGGTTCTAAATATCAGTTATTAGTCTTGGAAACCCCACAACAGTCGATCCTGAGCAGACACCTGCTCGACTTCACTGCTTTTAAAGTTTAGACTTAAAACATCCGATAAAGCTGATAGTTGGTTCTACTGTAGCGACCCTGAACCGTCCCTTAGTTCAGCTGCTGGGAGACTTCCCATCATGCACCTCTACTGTCTAATGCTCTCCATGTATTGACATGCTGCTACTGCTCGTCATTCCGTCTCTTAGTTTGCATTTGATCCTGTTCCTCTTCTCGTACCTTTCTGTGGTTTCTGGCTTCACCAACCTGCACAAACCAGTTTAATAATCTCTTGTTCGTTGCTCACTTTTCCTTTTCAACCAGTCGAGTCTGTAAAAAGGGCGTTTTTTTTTTTTTCCTTCCTCCTGCTCAAAGGAAATCATCATCATCGTGTTTCTCTCCATAAAATCATATTATAAGGTCCTGACCGGGCTGTGTGAAGCACCAGAGAATGACTTCTGCTGAACTGAATTAGCACTATATCAATAAAATTACATTTGCCTTCAGCAGCTCCGGCTGGTTCAGAGAACAGCCAGTTTTGTGGGTTTAAATGATTCCATTATAGAGACTCTAATACTGTGAGAAACTGAGTAAACAAAGCTCAGTGCAGAGTTTGGTTAAAGCTGTTT